TTCTTAAATCATGGAGAATTGCCAAAACTTGCAGTAGTGGTAATGATCTCTATAATAATTTATCATTTTATGAAATATGTCTTGGTTTATTTGAATTGATCAATTGTTTTAATAATATAATTTTTGTTTCACCATAGCTTTCACCACATGATACGACAGTTCTTGACCTTAAGAAGACTATGGAGCGATACATGTGTTTATCTTTTGTAAGGGAAAACGTCGNAACGTCCGGAAGGTAATAAATTGCAAGCACATTTGAATGAAATATCATCTTTTTTAGAACATGTTAAACTTCTTTGTAACAATGAAAATCGATGTGATATATGGTATTATAAATTCAGCTGAATTATATTTTATGAAGATACGTCAAATGTAAAATAAATTGGAAAGAAGTTAATATCTTGAAACAATTTACTTTTATTACCTACTTCTGTTACTTTTTACCACTTGTTAACATTGTTTTTNCTTCTCTTACTTTTTACCACTTGTTAACATTGTTTTATTTACTCATAACATTGTCATCGATACGACTGACTAAAATAGCAGAGACTAAGGTAGAGAATATTGAAAGTGATCCCTCTGGTTTACCTTCAAATGTTAGGATAGAGAAGCTCACATCACAGATTGGTGTTGCACAAGGACAAGCTATAACTTTATTCCAAAATCATAGAGAATTGACAAAACTTGCAGTAGTGTTAATGTTCGAGATGTTTATAATAATTTATCATTTTTGTTTCATTACAGGTTCCACCACATGACACGACAGTTCTTGAGAAAGCTGTTGAGCAACATATGTGTTTTGAAAGACAAAACGTCAAGAATAAAATAAGTTGAAAACATATTTGGAATATCATCTTTGTTTAGAACATACTTAACTTTTTACCAACAATGAAAGTATTATTAAATATAGTATTACAAATTGAACTGATTTACATTTTATGTAGGAGCGTTGAGAAACAAATAAATTGGTAAGAAATTAATATCTTTCAACAAATAGTTACTTTTTACTACCTGATGTTTAATTTGATTTAACACTCATATAACGACAGTTCATTTGCAGTATAGCTGAAATTATACAAATAGTATGTACTTGATATAAATACAGGAGAATATTTCTGTGAAATGTTTACTACACACTGTAATCTCACTAAAGGTGATTTTGATTTAACATTATTCTTATGATATTTCCAACGGTTCTCAAGTACATACACTGTATAGTAGTTTATACTGTCTCTTGAAAGAGAAAACGTCAAAGA